TGGGGGAGCACGCAGAAAAACGGGGAAACCGTCACATACCTCAAGAGGAGAGAGGAGGAGGACTCGTCGTCGTTGGACGAGGAGGAGTAACAGGATGAGGACGAGGAGGAAAAGGAGGAGGAGGTGGAGGAGCAGGAGGTGGAAGTGGGGGAGGGTGAGCCAGGGAGGGAGGAGGAGGAGGAGGAGGAGGAGGAGGAGGAGGAGGAGGAGGAAGAGTAGGCGGAAAAGGAGGAGGAAAAGGAGGGGGAGGAGCAGGAAAAAGGCGAACAGAAGAGCCAGAAGCCTCTTGAATGCCTGTCGGTGTCTCCTCGGGTGTTTCTGGGAAGCTTACTGGATGCCTCTTGAAACGTCTGGGGAAGCTTTTTGCGGGCCCAGGGCCGTCTTTGATCGTCTTGGGTAATCCGGTGATCATGTTGAGGCCTCTTGGGTGTCTTGAGAGCCTCTTGTAAGCCTCTTGGAGCCGTCTGGGCGCCTCTTGGGGCCCTCTTGGGAGCTTAGGGGCGCTCTTCGGGCCATCTTGGAGGCCATCGATCAAACAAGAGAGGAGCTCCAATTAGCGCCCCCCCTCGGGAGCCCCAACAATCGCATCTTGGGCCGCTCTTGTAGCGCTCTGGGGCGCCCTTGGGGCCGTCTTGGGGCTCTCTTGGGGCTCTCTTGGGGCACTCTTCGCCCGTCTTGGAGCCATCTTGAAGCCTCGGATGGCCATCAGAAGCGAAAAGGCGACAAAGCAAACAACATGGATGTGCCTTAGGTTTTAGAAGGATGTTGGTCTCTTCCGGGCTTCCTTGGGGACCCTTTTGGTCACTTGGATCCGTCTTGGAATTTCTTGGGGCATTTTGGAGCATGCTGTAAGCCATCTTGAGGCATCTTGCGCTATCTTGATCCATCTTGGAGGCCATCGTGGGCTCTCTGAGGCCCTCTTGGAGCCGTTTTGGGCCATGTTGGACGCCCCGACCGCTCGCGAAACCCCCCGTCCAGGTCCAGGGGAGTGGGTAGGGGAGGGGTCAAGACGCCCTCCCCGCCCGCAAGCCGTCTCGCTCACTCCCACCCGCCCTCCCAACACATACGTAGCACCCGAGTCTGGCCCGAGCCGCAGCATATTCAGCAGTCGTCTTTGGATGGGCAGCTACTGGGGGCGAATCCGCCGCCGCCGCCGCCGCCTCCGCCGCCGCCGCCGCCGCCCTGGCTGCCGAATCACCGCCGCCGCAGCCGCTGCCGCCGCAGCCGCTGCCGCCACCGCCGCCGCCGCCGCCACCACCGCCACCGCCGCAGCCGCCGCAGCCGCTACCCCCGCCGCAGCCTTCGCAGCCGCCGCCGCCGCCGCCAAATGTACTCTGCATTGTGATTTGACAGGGATGGGGGGGGGAGGCCGCATCGGGTTCGCCGCGCATGCTCCGAATTTGGAGGCAGAGTGTGTTGTGCATTGTTTTACCAGGGATGGTGGGGGGGCACTCATTGGCTCGGGTTGGCTCCCAGTCGCCTGGGGGAGGGGGTGTATATTAATAAGGAACAGTGATAAACCCCTCCCCGAAGAGGAAGAAGGGGGTGGAAGAGGAAACGCCCTAGACCACCTACGCCCAGAGGGCTGGTGGGATTCAAGCTTACGCCATGCCAGCAGAGGTCGCAGGCCGCGGCGCAGGCATCTACCGCCGCAGTCTCCCAATCGCAATCGAATCACAAGGTGGGGAGGCATGCATGGCAGGAAGATGGGAGGGAGAAGACCGAGGCGTACGAGTGTGAACAACTGGGGATGCACGAGAAAGACAAAAGGTTAATGCTCATCTGCGCCCTACAATGCTCCGCGCCGCTGCGCGCTGCCATAATGATCGACCAGCCGTGCCGTGCCTTGGCCCTGCATTGCTCTGCCACGGGAGGCTCCAGCAGACTCCCAGGAGGCCCCAGGAGGCCTCAAGAGGCCCCAGGAGGCATCAGGAGGCCCCAGGAGGCCCCAGGAGGCCCCAGGAGGCCCCAGGAGGCCCCAGGAGGCCCCAAGAGGCCCCAAGAGGCTCCAAGAGGCCCCAGGAGGCCCCAGGAGGCCGTCCGCGCCCTGCCCCGCCGGGCCTACCGTGCCTTGCGCTTCCCTCGCCGCTCTGCCGGGCCCCTGCGCTGCAGTGCCCTCCTTGGCGGCCCGTCGGGCCCTGCCCCGCCTTGGCCCTTTCCCTGCCTTGCATTGCCCTGCCCCACGTCCCTCCTCCTCCTCCTCCACCTCCACCTCCTCCTTCTCCTCCTCCTTCTCCTCCGCCTCCTCCTCCTCCTCCTCCCCCCCTTCCCTGCCTTGGCTTCCAATGCCGTGGTCGGCACTGCGCTGCCGTGCCGTGCTTCCGTACCCTGCCCGCCTTGTCCAGCTCTGCCAGAACCCTGCCGCTGCCTGCGCTGCCTCGCATTCGCTGGCCCTGCACTGCGACCCCGCGACCCGTCGTGATATGCTGTGCGAGGCCCTGCCCTGCCCCCACGATGCTTGCCCTGCCCTGCTCCTGCCCTGCTCCTGCCCCCTGCTCTGCACTGCCGTGCCGTACCCTCCCCTGCCATGTGTCGCCTCGCCGTCCTGCCCTGCCCCGCCTTGCCCTGCCTTTCTCCTCTTTGCACTCGAGCGAACCAGTTGGCATGCGGGCAGGCAACATCGTGAGCACGCGTGCAAGCACTCAGATAGCACAGCAAGCAAGTCAGCACGGGGAAGCTGGCACGCATGACATCGAGCAAGCATGAGCGCAGGCATGCACTCACGTAAGCCAGGAAGCATGTGCCCGTGCAAGCGCCGACACGCACGCTGCCAAGCGTGCAATGACGCACGGGGGCAAAAGGATGCACCCAAACACGACAGCAAGCAAACAAGCAAGCAGTGGAAATCGCCACAAGGGTGGACTTGGGAATCGCAGTCAGGATTGCCAAGCAGGCCATAGGAACCCGTCATACAAGAGATCGGGAGACATCGGGAACCACTCGCGGCAAACAAGGAGGTGTTCTCATGGATCTGCATTTGATTCAGCTGGGATCGTTACAGTGGTGTCGATGCTAATCTATTCAGCTAAGTACCAGTTGTGCTTCAGTCTGCCAGGCACCACAAGTGGCCAGAGGAAAGCGTACATAGTTTGGCTATTGCCTAGGGAGGGCAGGTTGTTGCGCAAGTGAAATGTATAGCACTTCATGTGGATATCAGGCCACAAGCGTCGGCTACTCCTCCTCCCTTCCCTATTCCTGGTCAGTTTGCTGTCATTTAACACAACAGCATCAGCAATACCAAGCATGATTCAACTTTCTATGCGTAGCAGGCCGTCGGTGTAAGGTCTTGGGGGCCTGCGTTTGTTCGTCGAGAGCGTCCAGCAGCATCCTGGAGATATCAGAAATCGGTCTGCACTCGTTATGAGACTGCTCCAGAAGTCTTCAGGCTCCCGCGGGCTATCCGGCATGCCCCAGTAAGTTGTATTTCAGGCGACTCAGGAAACCAATGTAAAACACCGTCTTGGCCCAGTCACCCCCCCTGTCCGATGAGATGTGTTGGGCTCCCTGCGGGGCGACGTTGGTGAGGGAATTGCATCAGCGACGAAACACGAGCCCAACGCAACTCCACCGCCCATCGATCTCGACCAGCGGGGATTTACTGGCGAGGGTCCAACTTCGCTCGTGCCCGCCCTGCGCCCTGAAATCCCCAACAGTGTCCTGCGGACACCCGGGAACTGGATCGGCAGGGACAGGGCTTACGCGCGGCCGCCCGCTCCAGGCTCCCGCGCCTGGTGTCCGGCCCCAGGGGGTCAGCGACGAAGGAGGGGCCCTGTGAAGGGCAACGTTTGTCGGGCGCACACAGCACTGGTATGAAACCGGCATGGGAATTGCACGGCAAATTTTGCTGAAATACTTCAAGCGGGCATTTCGCGCCTTGCGCTCTGGGTGCCTGTGCGCGACTAGATTTCGCCATGTTTTCTCTGCGGGTTTCAAAGCAAATCATGTTGGCCGTGTTTTCCCAATAGGGGTTGGGCGCTCGCATTCTTTTGGCCGTGGCGTGCATTCTGTCTTCCTGTGGCACTTATATGCGATTACGTTTTTTGATGTTCTCTCTCCGTTGGCCTGGCTCGCCTTGTTATCGCAATTTCGCGATGTTTCTACGTTCCTGAGCCCATCCCCCCCCAAAATGATTCGGGGGGGAGGATCGGCTCAGGGGGGAACGCATCGACCCCCGATCGCCCACCCATCGCCGATGGGGAACCGATAGCCCAACCCGCCCAGGAGCCTGGGCTTTCGCCATCCGGGACCCCTCGCCGATTCAAGCCCGATGTCCCCGCTCCTGAGCTGGCCCCCCCCTCCGAAGTGGCCCCTCACCACCAGAGCTCTCGCGGGCCGGGCGCACCGTTCTGCACAGGCTCCGGCGAGCAGTCCGCCGCCTCGCCGCCTCGCGGGCAGCCTCACGCCGCGCACCACGCGCCACCCGCCGCACGAGCACGGAGCTCGAATCGAAGCTCGACCTCCCGGCTTGGGGGCCTCACGGAGTCTTCGCGAGGAGGAGGAGGAGGAGGAGGAGGAGGAGGAGGAGGAGGAGGAGGAGGAGGAGGAGAAGGAGGAGGAGAAGGAGGAGGAGGAGGAGGAGGAGGGCCTCTGGCCCTCAGCGAGGGCTCGCCTGCGCGCCGTGGAACGACCTCCATCGGGCCGCACCTCCCGAGGTCGACCGCGCGCAGGAGGAGTGGGCCGTCGCCGGAGTGGCCTCCGGTGCGGGCCCGCCGGGGTCCCCCTGATCGCCGAGCGCGGGGCGACAGCAGGTGCTTGCGCGCTTGGGTCTGGCCCCCGCATGACCCGAAAGCTGCGCACCTGGGGTCACTCCCGCCTGGGGGCCAGTCCTTCGTGCGTGCAGCCGAGGCGGTCCCCGGCCTTCCGTCCGCGCCCAGCCGAGACCGCCGCCCAAAAAGACGAGCGAGGCCCGCCCAGCCACGCTGGCCCAGGCCTCAACCGGCAGGCGCGACGCGTCCACCCCGATTGTGCCCCGGCGGGTCTGCCTTGGCCTACCGGCCGGCATGGGGTGCGGCGCCAGCTCCGTGGCCGGCGGGGGCGCCAAGGTGGCCAATGGCGAGGCCGCGCAGCAGGCGGGCAAGGCTCCCACCGAGAGCCCCGCGAGCGCGAGCTCGGGGACCAAAGGCGAGGCGGGCAGCAAGCCTGCCATCAAAGAGACGGGGGACAAGGACAAGCTCAAGAAGCAGGCCCGGGAGGACAACAAGAGCTACACGCAGACCCTGGCCTTCCTCGCCAACGTGCAGTTGCTGAAGAGGCTGCCGAAGGACCAGCACCCACAGCTCGCAGCAGCCATGGACAGGGCAGAGTTCCCCGCGGGTCACGTAGTGATCAAGCAGGGTGACCCTGGCGCCGAGTTCTTCGTGATCAAGAGTGGCGAGGCAAGAGTGGAAGTGACGACAGGCGGAACCACGAATACGGTTGCGAAACTCAAGGCCGGCGATTATTTCGGGGAGGGCGCGCTCCTGCGCGACGAGCCTCGGGCCGCCACGATCGTCGCAGAGTCGCCCCTGAATACTTTCAAAATCACGCGGGACAAGTTTCAGAGCTTAGGCCTGAACGACAAGCTGCAGTTTGCAGCCCGTAAGGCGGTCGGCGGTGGCCGTAACCGTGTTATCGCGAAGCCCCCAACCGAGAAGACCCCCGAGGAACGGGCACTGTTCGCGGAGGCGGGGGGGTTTTTGGTTTTCTTGGGGGGGGGCGGGTTTTTTTTTTTTTTTTTGGGCGCGGAGGCCTTGCGCAATAATGAGAATCTACAGGCAACTGTGACGTTGGACGATGACCGCATCCAGAGGATATGTGACGCGGCTTGGAAGGAGGAAGTGGAAGAAGGCAAAGAGCTGATCACAGAGGGCGACCTGGTCGCCGACTATTTCTACGTGGTGCAGGAGGGTTCCTTCGAGGTGATCGTCTCTGACGACGGCGACGAGGACGACGCGGAGGGCGTGCAGCACGGCAACAGCGTGGAGGCGTTGACCGCCTCCAAACCCCTTTCAAAGCCAGTGGCGGAGCTTACGAAGGGTGGTAGCTTTGGGGAGCTCGCTCTTCTCTATCTCGTTCCGCGCGCCGCTACTGTGAAGGCGAAAGAGAAAAGTTCCGTGTGGGTCATCGACCGCACGAACTTCAAGAGCATCTTGATGAAGGTGTCGGATAAAAAGATCGCGGAGTACGTGCGACACCTGGACCACGTGACCATTCTAGAGTCGCTGCTGCAGGAGGAGAAGAAGGCACTGGCACAAGCTCTAGTCGAAATGCACTTCACCAAATCCGAGATCATCGTGAAGCAGGGCGAGGCTGGGAACACGTTCTACATCCTCTACGACGGAGAGGTCATCGTGACCAAGGACGACGTGGAACAGGTGCGGCTCACCGCCACAACTGGCGGCAAGGCACAGTTCTTCGGGGAGCGCGCTCTGCTCAACAACGAGGCCCGGGCAGCCACAGTAACGGTGAGCTCGGAGACAGCGAAGGCGCTCGCCCTGGACCGCGACTCCTTCAATATGCTCTTGGGCCCCTTGGAGGACATCATCAAGCAGAACCAGACTAGAACTGGCAATCGGACAAGCCAGATCAACAAAACGAACATGAAGGCGGCAGCACTTGACACTGAGCGCAAGCGCATTCGCCGCAAGGACTTGGCGCGGATTGGTCTTCTCGGCTGCGGCGGTTTCGCCACCGTTGAGCTCATGGAGCACAGAGTCACCAAAGAGACATATGCCATGAAGTGTTTGAGCAAAGGATATATAGTGCAGACTGGCATGCAGGACAGCGTCATGAACGAGAGGAACATCCTTCTGATGACGAATTCCCCCTTTATCATCAAACTGTTCGAGGCATACAGTGGCTCGCAAACGCTTTACTTCCTGATGGAAGCTGCACTTGGCGGTGAACTATATGCCACCTACAACCGCAAGGGCCTGCACGGGAGCGAGAAGCACGCGAAGTACTACATTGCAGGCGTCGTGTTGGCATTCGAGCACCTCCACGAGCGCCACGTAATTTACAGGGACTTGAAGCCAGAGAATTTGCTGCTGACCGAGCATGGCCACCTGAAGGTCACTGACATGGGTTTGGCCAAGTTCGTCATCGGCAAGACGTACACGACCTGCGGTACACCAGACTACTTTGCCCCAGAGGTCATTGCTTCCATAGGACAGACGAGGAGGATGAGCATGGGGATGAGGACTGCGAGAGGGAGGGGAGCGGGAGTGGAGCACAAACAGAGGGAGCCTTAGCAAGAAAAAGATGATGAATAAGCATTGCCTCAGACGAGAACAAGCAAGACCAATGCCGATGCCCTTCTGGCGGGTTCGCCTGTATGGGCCACCTGGGGGGGCATCGCCGCCACGACCAGATTCGCCTCGAAACCCTGGCCTAAACACAGCCGGGGCGAGGTCCAGGCAGCAACAGCATCGGTGTCTTGCTGTTCCACCGTTGCTCGGATGGGACATACAGGCACCGTGGACCCGTGGGGGAGGATGAGGGCGAGAGGGCGGGGGTGAGCAGGCGGGGAGGGGATAAAATAAGGAGCTACAGCAGGAGGAAGAGGAGAAGCAGAAGAAGGAGGGGGAGGACCCAAGCATCCGAGTTTGTGCTTTTGCTCCACAGTGTGGATGCTGTATTCTCATATCCTAAGATGGAGTTGTTCTTATTACTCAGACGGCTCAGGACCTCCTCCCTCACACCTCACACCCTCGTCCTCTTCCTCATACGCACTCACTCATACTCAGACTCGCTCATACTGAGATTCGGTCAAACTCAGATTCACTCGTGCTCAGACAAATATTCAGACTCCATCATACTCAAACTTGCTCGCACTCAGACTCAGCCAGGCTCACCTGCAATCAGACTCACTCATAACTCAGACTCACTTGGGCCACTGCTCACCGCGACATTTAGCAGGCGAGGCGCTTGGGAACCCCAAGGGGGAGCAGCCAAGGTGGGGACACTCCAGGATTCGCGGCCAGATTGTGGGGATGCCTCGGGCGGTGTACTTGTTTGGGTGCCCAGCATCCTTTGCTTTCGGGGCAGCCTGTGAGGATGTCCCAGGAGAGTCGCTGGTTTCAGCACTCTCACGGGGGAGCCGCCAGGGGTGGGGACACTCCAGGATTCGCGCCTAGATTGTGGGGATGTCTCAGGCGGTGTGCTTGTTTGAGTTCCCAGCATCCTTGTGCTTTCGGAGCAGACTGTGAGGTTGTCGGCGAGACTGTGGGGATGTCTTAGACGGTTTTCTTGTTTCTGTCCCAAAATTTCTCTTTGGATGTGTCTGCTCCTCACTCACTCACTCACCTCCCCCTCGTCCTCCTCATCATCCTCATCCTCCTCTTCCCCACTTTGACGCACTCATTCACGATCAGATTTAATCACGGGCACCTCCTCACACAGACCCACTCAGCACATTCAGGCTCATCCATATTTAGATTTACTCAAACTCAGACTCATGATTATTTAGACCCACGCATATTCCAACGCACTCAAACCCAAACTCACTCACACCCAGACTGAATTCACACCCAGACTCACTCGAACTCAGACTCACCCACACTCAGGCTCACTCATATTCAGACTCAATCGTATGCAGGCTCAGTCATACTCTTACTCGGGTTAGCACACTCCTACTACGGTCCACTCCCAGACTCACAAGCACTCAGACCCACTCACACCCAGGTCCATTCGTACTCCGATTCATTATGTTCAGACACACTCACACTGAGGTTCAATCATACCCAGATTCACTAGCGCTCGGACACACTCGCACTCGAATCACTCACGCTCAGATTTACTCACACTAAGGCTTACACGCAGGTGATTACCGCGACATCGCATGCGTGGCACTTGGGCACCCCAAAAGCCAGCAGGCGCCGCGAATAGCCCGCCAGGGAGCGGGCGTAGCAACGCCATGTACTCTTGCCCGAGTTGCCGCAGTGAGAACGGCAAGAGAAATCCTCCGTCGTTCTTCCGCTTGTGTTTCCCTCATCTTACTTACGAAATCTCCTAAGGAGAAGGCAGTCACTGAGGTCGTCGCGGTCGTCGTCGTCACTGTCGCGACCGTCGTCTACGCGGACTCGCTTTCGCACGCCCGAGTGTTCGCAGACAGAGTTCCTCGGCAAGACGTGACAGGAGTATGAGATGCACATTTGGGAATTGCCGCGTCGAGTAGTGTTCACAATGTGGCCCCCCGGTGGTCTGGACTACTTCCCGCGCACCGGCTTTCCACCGGGACCGATTTCTGATTGTCCCGCGGCCCGGCAGGAGCTCCCGAGCTCCCCTGAGGCCGCAGACTGCCGAAAGTTGCAGTCGGGATAGCCTTCAGTACGCGAGGGATACAAGGGGAGGAGCAGCGCCTCCGAGAGGACACACCAACGCCGTGGACTGGTGGACCCTTGGCATCCTACTCTACGAGCTGCTCTCGGGCGCCCCGCCCTTCGAGTCCCCCAACCCCATGCAGGTGTACTCCAAGGCGCCCGGGAGCCCGCAGCAATGCGTGGGCGCTGGCCGGAATGTCGATCGATCGCGATGATACGGGGGGTGTTGTGGTCGGCGAACGATCGCGCGGTGGCGAAGCGTCTTGGCTTGCTTACAGGCACACCAAAGAATGTTCCCAGAGCCTCTGGTGGTCTGCACGAAATGTTCTCAGAACATGTCTGGTTGAGACTGCTTTGTTTCAACATATCGGGTTGGCGTTCTAAGAACACTGTTGCTGTTCTTAGAACAGCTCTGGGTTCTAAGAACATGTCGTGGTAGACCAATGGGAATGTTGGGACGGTCGGTCCCTGCTCCAAACTACTCCTCCACTCCTCCTCCTCCTCCGCCCTCCGAGCCTCATTTCCTCCTCACTACCTCCTCATCCTCTCTCTCCTCCTCCTCCTCCTCTCATCATCCTTCATGAACCTCGAAGGCGTCATGGTCGCTCTCATCCTCATCCTCCTCCTCCTCCTCCTCTACCTCCCTTCTTACCTCCTCCTCCTCCTCGGCCTATGTCGAGCGTTTCCCTCATAAGGGGGCGTCTCCTTTCCCCTCCCCCCCCGTCCACAGCCTGCAGGGTTCCACTTCGATCCGTGGGAACTGTCGCTTCCAGTCCGGCCCGATCCGGCTCGAATTCGGCATCCCCGGCGATGCTCCCTCCCCCGATGCGGGCCCGGTGGGTGCTCTTACAGCGCGGTGGGCATCCTGTGGGAGCCGAAGGCCAGACTGTCAGATTGGATTGGGCCCCAGGGGCCAATCTGGCCCGGCCAAACTGGATGATTTGGGTTATTCGCCAGACTGGATTCGCGTTGGCTCCCTCGTCAGATTGCCCCCGTTTGCCAGATTGGGCCTGCCAGATTGGCGCCAGATTGGCTTCGACTACCCAGTCCTGGCGCGGCCAAGCCGCGGCGATGCCGACCACTTGCCGACGCGGCCCGAGGCGACGCACGGTCTGATCCGACCCAGCTCCCCGATTTCGATGCTAGTACCTGTCCTTGTGAGGAGGGAGAGGTTCGGCCGACCTGTCCAGTCCTCGGGGGCGGAAAAGAGGGGGGTGATGACTAGGGGGGGTTGGATATCATGGCGGGGGCCATGATATTTCCCCAGATGTTATGGCGCCTCTTCTTGTTTCATTACGTCCCTGGCCCCCCCGCTGGGCCGCGCACATGCCGCCGGTCATGATTTGCACCCCCCCCTCCTGGACACCCCCCTTTTGGCCGCTCTCGACCACAGCGCGGTTGTGCATCCTGGCGCGGCCAACCCGCGGCGATTCCGACCACTTGCCGATGCGGCCCGAGGCGATGCACGGTCTGATCCGACCCAGCTCCCCGATTTCGATGCTAGTACCTGTCCTTGTCAGGAGGCAGAGGTTCAGCCGACCTGTCCCGTCCGCCTGTTATTGGTACGGTAGGTTCGTGTCGTGTCGACCGGCGGCGGCCCCGCCAGCGGCGTTCAACTTTGAACGCCGCGGGCGACCCAGAATCGTTCGATGTGGAACGATTTGGACGTTTCGGAAACGGCCGATCGTTCAAGGTTGAACGATCCCCGCGGTGTCAGAAACCAACGCCGAAGTCGGCACGACACGGACCTGCCGTAGGGATGTTGTGAATCATGTCTGCTGTATTGTGCTTCTTGGGGGAAGCGTCTTTGGGGGGCGGCGCTTGTCTTAGCGCCTCTGGTGCACTCGCAGACGGCAGTTTGAACTCGATTCTGCTCCCCCTTGGCATCCTACTCTACGAGCTGCTCTCGGGTGCCCCGCCCTTCGAGTCCCCCAACCCCATGCAGGTGTGTGTACTCCAAGGCGCCCGGGAGCCCGCAGCAATGCGTGGGCGCTGGCCGGAATGTCGATCGATCGCGATGACATGGGGGGATGACAAGGGCAGTTTGACCTCGAGTCTGCCCCCTCCCTTCTCCTTGCTGGACGTCATCCTCTGTGGACGGCGCCCCAGCCCCACCCCCCCTCCCGTGCCCCTCCCCGGCCGGCCCCCCTCCCTGCTGGCACGGGTGCCCCCGTGAAGGGTGGCTGAGCGGCCGCCGCCGCCCTGCCCCGCTCGGGTTATTCTCGGGGGCGCAGGACAAGGTTGATCAGTCGCTCGTGGCTCTTTTCCGCCGGCCTCCCAAGAGGCCTGCACGGGCTCCTCTCTGAGCCGCATTCGGCGCCGGAGCCCACTTGGCCGCCGAGTGGGCCGCTGAGCGGACTCGACCCTGAAGTAACGGGCGGCGGGATCCTGGGCTTCCGCAGCCGAAAGGGCTCGATGTCAGCTAGGTCTACGATGCCGCCGCCCCGCCCCGCTCAGGTGATTCTGAAGGGCATTCTCTATGGGCCCCGCTATGGAAACTCGCCGAGACCTCCTGCAAACAGAACGAAGCCCCAGAGATCCGACGCTGCAAGAGAACTGGAGCGGCCCTCGCCAGGCCTCCGGACCGTCAAAAAACAACTCGGGCCTCAGGACTTAAACGACACCGGTCCCGGGGAAGTGGTCCAGGCCTACGGCGCCCGCGCATCAAAAAAAACAGGGCAGTCGGCTGTCTGTGCCCTCGACGGGCTGCGCGGAAACTGCTCGGGACCCTTGACTGGGGGAGGTTCCCGGACCTTCCAGGAAGGCTAGCAAATAGCGGCCTCGACACCTAAATCCCCGTCGAGGTTCTAGGCACGGCTGGGCCTGGGGGGGGGTGGGGGGCGGGGCGAGGGGGCGGGGGGAGGTGAGGGAAGGGGGGGGAGGGGGTGGAGGGGGGAGGGGGGGGGAGGGGGGGCGAGGGCGAGGGGGGGTGGGAGGGTGGGGAGGGGGAAGGGGAGGGAGGGGGAGGGGGGGCGAGGGGCGGCTGGCCGCGGGCCGCTGTCGGACGCGGGAGAGAGCTGGGCGGGGCGGCCCAGTCCGCGCGCGCGTGCGGCTGCGCCCGGCGCACGTGCGGAGCATTGCGCCGCCGCCGCGTGCCCTGCCGCTCCCGGGCCAGGCAGCGGAAGTATGCCGGATTTCGTAATAAAGGGAGGGGGGTCTCATTTCGGGGGGGGGTCTCTTCCAGGCTATCTTGGAGGGCCTGGGGGGTCTGGGGACGATGTTTTGGAGGGTTCTCCCCCGGGGGAGGTCTGAAATGGCTTGTCTTGGAGGGTCCAGACCCGCTCCCTTTTTATTACGAAATCGGAAGTATACCCAGCGCATCTGCTCTCTTGCGCGTCGCGTCGGGCCACGGGGCCCCGAGCGCGCGCCAGGAGGGGATGCGCGGGTGTGCTGTGCCGCGGGCCTGCGATGAGGAGGCGGCCCGGGGCGTTGCGGGCCGCTCGCACGGAGCGTTCCCTGGGCGCTCCGGAGCAGCCGCGGCCCGCTCGCCCTCAGAGATTCCCGGTGCACCAGGCAGCGCTTGCCCTCGGGGCTCCTCGTGCTCGGCTCGGGGAGTGTAAAGCCGGAGGGGTCCGCCAAGGCTTCTTGCCTGGTGCCTGGGCTTTGTGGCCAGTCGTGAGCGCTGCGTGGGCGCCCCATGGCGCCCTGCGCTGGGCAGGCCCGCCCGGGTTTCGCCTGGTGCCCAGATGGTCACCACCCACCAAACCACCCCAACCCAACCCGATGGCTCAGATTTGCCCTCGATTTCCAGTGGGGGGGGGTCGGAAAACATCGAAAAAACACATGTGGAACCCTTACCCCCCCCCAACCCGAAATTCGGGTCTTCGGGTTGGGTTGGGGTGGTCTGGTAGGTAGTCAGATGGTGAAAGCTTCCAGGGCAGAGCCGGCCGCTCCGGGGGTCCGCTTCCATCTGGTCGATCCTCCGGGGGGCCCCCAAACGGGGCGGTGACCACAGCGTGCGGCGAGTCGGTGGGGATTCGGGGTCGCCGCACGGTTCTGGGACTCGGGTCGTTCTCCGAGGGCGTCTCGGGCGACTGGGGCCTCCGAGGTCCCAAAACCGTGCGCTGACGGACCGTGCGGTGAGGCTTTGGAGGGCTTCGAGGTCACCGCACGGTCTGTCGCCGCACCGTTGCGGGATTCCCAAATCCTGCTGGACGTCGATGCTCGCCCACGAGCCGCCTTGCGCAGGGCGCCTCGTGGGCGCCCCGTGCGCTGCATGGGTCCGCCAGGGGTGCGCCTGGCGCCCGGGGTGGTCGGCCCGTCGCGGGCGCCTCGCGGCCGCCCCGCGCGTCTGCGCGGGTCCGCCAGGGGTTTTTGCCCGGCAGGTCTTCGAAGAGCAAGTGCGCACCCTCGGGCGGCATCCACAGAGGACGAGTCGACCACACGTAAGAGTGGCCTTTCGCCGGAGTGACTTTTGGTGCGGGCCCGATGGGGCCCACCGATCGCCGAACGCGATGCGGTAGTTGCGTCTCGCGCGCTCGTTTTTTGGTCCCCCCCGCGGCCCCGAAAAAGCTGCGCACCAAAGGTCACTCTTACCCAGGGTCACTCTTGCGCGTAGTCGAACAAGGGGCCAGATCGAGGCCTCCTAGATGGGGCCCGAGTATTGATGGGGTCGGAGGATCGCGCCTCTTCGCCGATGCATCGCCGATGCGGCTCGATGTGAAGCTCGATTTGCTTCACGTCGACGTCGCCGATGCATCGCCGACGTCCACGATGCATCGCTGGTGCATCGCCGATGCATCGCCAATGCATCATCGATGTATCGGCGATGCGGCGCGATCCTCCGACCCCATCCACTCCAACCCCATCTAGGAGGCCTCCAACAGAGGGCAACGGGCCGGAGCATGGCGAATCCTGGGGACACCCTCACAGGCGGCCACGGGCGGCACCGGGCCGTGGCTTGGGCCCCCCCACCGGCGGCAACGGGCGGCAACCAGCCGCAGCGTGGCGAATCCCCTGGACCCCCCCAAAGGCGGCAACGGGGCCGCAAAAAGCTTGAACGTGGCGAATCTCCGGGGCACCCATCCAATGCCTTAGAAACGCTAGAAACGCAAGGGGGGACCCTCTAAGTGCAAGCACTGTCTGGGGAGCAGATTCCACCACCCTCCCAAACCCGGGATGATCCGATCCCCCTGGGGTACTGCAATTTCGGCGCGATTCTGCCTCATCGTCCGCCTTCATCCCAGCCAGGCCGGTATCGACTCTCCCGCCATCTCATTCCACAAAGTACGATGCGATGTACAAGCGTTAGTCCAAGAAGTGTTGTTGCTAAGAATCCTTTGCACAAGATGCATTACGAGGAAAATGCGCACGCCGACGCGCGCGCACGTCAAAACTCTTCAATGGCGATCGGTTTATAATACAAGTTCAGAACATGGCTAGTCCAAAACTCTCAAGAATCATCATCTCGTAACTGAGTGCCCGATTTCTTCGCGCGTTCTCGCTGAAGCCGCAAGAAGGCATAGGGGCTTTGTCAGTCTGTCAAATCAGACTATCCAGGCCACTTGCACGCGCGTGTCCAAACGTTTTACCACCATCGCGTCCCCACCAACTCTGTAAAATGATACCACGCGGGCCACGCGGGTGTTCCAAGACTATTGGTTTCCAGATCAGTTCAACACAGATGTGTTCAACAGCATACCAAAATCCATCTGCGTTCAATGAAAGGTTTCAGAATGTCATAATGTATGCGGGCGCCCTCTTCCTCGTTCTCATCAGCACTATCGTTATCATCATCGTCAGCGTCATCATTGCCATCGTCATTATTGCCATCGTCATCACCATCGTCGTCATATTCATCACCATCACCATGGTCGTCATCGACATTGTTTTGTCCCCATCGCCAGTGTCATCTCCATCGGCAGCATCGTCATCATCACTGTCGTCGTCATCGTCATATCGCAGTCGTCACCCACCATGACCATCACCGTTTCGCGACCCGCAGGGCGGACTTGTCTGCGCAATTAGGGGTCCACGCGCCCGTGCGCTCGTTGAGAGCATTGCGAGACGAGTTTGGTCAACAGGTTGCGGGAGGGAGTTTGGGATGTTTGCACGAGCATTGAAGTTGACGATTGCATCTTCCACAGGTGGATTGAACCATTGATTGCACCACATAGATTGCTCCGGATAGATTGCACCACAGCTTGCACCACATCTTTTGTACCCCCTTGCTTGCACCACATACATTGCACTACACAGCATGCGCCACACCGATTGCACTGCGCAGCCTGTAGCTCATGGACTGCATCACGCAGACTGCGCAGAGACCTTCCCGGTGGCATCACGTGTCCAGGTTGCAATAGCGCATTGTGTGGGGTCCACGCTGGCGACATGACAGCGTCCTCTTGCCTTCGTCTTTTCTGCGTTAACCCCGCGCACAGGTGATGAAGGGCATCAGCCGGATCCAGTTCCCGAAGAAGTGCCAGGGCTCTGCCGAGGTGTTGATCAAGAGCCTCCTGAAGAAGGAGCCGAGCGAGCGGCTCCCGATGCGCCCCGGCGGCGTCAGGAACGTGAAGGAGAGCGAGTTCTACAAGGATTCGAGGAACAAATCGGCGGACGAGGAGGCGGAGGAGGAGGAGGAGGAGGAAGGGGGAGGAAGGGGGTGGGGTGGCGCGGTGGAGGAGAGGGGGAGGAGGAGAAGGACGAGGTTGAGGAGGAACGCTTGGTGCCAGTGTGTGGCTTCCGGGGTGCTGGATGCGTGACACTCCCACTGGAGAGGGGGGGACGTCTAAATTGCTCCCTAGGGTGAAACGTCAGCTTTCGAAAGTCCGCGCGGAGTCATCTGATCGGCGTTGGACTCCCTTGGCGTTCTCCGCACGCCAGGGACGGTGGGTCCAGCGCCGATCCAAGAAATATGCGCGGTCCTCGGAAAACGTATAGTCATGATTGCTTTAATCTACTATTCTAAGGACTTCGACTGGGGAGCGCACTTGAACGGGACTATGGCGGCTCCGTACGTCCCCGTGGTGAAGAGCAAGACAGACATCGCGAATTTCTGCGCCAGAAAAGAGGACATGCCGAAGTTCCTCGAGTACACCGACGACGGTTCAGGCCGGGACCTCGTGGCGATTGCTCGTCCTGTGGCCGCCGACCACCGACCGCCGACGGCCGATCGTGCGATCGTGATCGCAGGTGGCCGGTTTGGTGTCAGCCCCGTGGCCCCCCCTTTGCGGTTTGGTCAGAGCCGCGGTCTCCGTTCACGTTTTTCATCGCCCCAGACAGTCGGGGGTGGACAGACCTCCTACCCCGACACGTCGATTCAGGAATTGGCCGTGGTCGGTTCGCGAGAGGGCGCCGCGGCCGTCCTTTTTGCGGGTCCAGGTCCGTCGGTCTCGGTCCCAGGCCGTTTTCACGAAGGGGAGGTTTACTGAAGGGAGGTTTGTCCACCGCCGAGACAGCCGACGTCGTGATTTGTTCAATCCGTGCGTCTTCCCTGCGATCCAGGGGAAACCCAGTCTGCTCACACTGTAGCGTTCTCGCCCGGCTTCGGGCACGGCGACCTCCACGAGCCGGTCCGCAGAAATCAGGGGGGGCCCAGCTTGCTGACCAGGAGTTTGTTGTCGTTTGTCGTCCCCGCTCCTTCTCGTTTTCTCCTCCTGCCGGTCCTGTGCGTTGCGCGGTGCGCAGTAGGGTTTTTTAAGGTCACGCGCGTTCGGCGCTTCCCGCTTCTTCTCGTTCGAGCTTTCAACCTGGGAAAGGCGAATCATGGATAATGCTCCGACCCGAGGCTGCAGTTTTCCCAGGCGCGTCAATGTCCTGGTTCATTGAAGTCCCCGGTCAGGGTGCCTTGAGGGAAGGTGCGAGTAGGACAGCGGCTGCAGAATTGATTTGCCCCAGAATTGAAGCGTGCGGCGAGCCTGCGAACAATACTTCGACTTGGCGGCGATCTGAGAACATTCTACATCTGTACGGAAGCTTCGACGAAACATCAACTCGGAGGTAGATCAATGCTGCAGTCGATCTCCTGCTCGACAGATGGCGTCCAGGGCTTCGCTCGTGATTCGTCCCCGGACAGCTTGCCCGTGAGGGTTCTATGCAGTCCTCGAACTGTTCGAGTAGTGGATCGACTACAGCACTGACTTACCCCAAGTCTGACTCTCTCGTCGAGTCATACGCAGAGTGTCCGTAGGGCTACGAGGATTCGACGCAGGAGGCACGGATTCGACGAACAAGGCACTTCTGGGGCAAATCGGTTCTGTAATCGTTCCCTTACTCGAAGTGTGGAAGCGTGTTTAGGGTTTTCTGTCGCAGGAGTGTTGTTGTTCAGGAAGGTGCGATCGCTCGCGACGTCTGGCCTCAGGGTTCGGAGCTCACGGTCCTCCCCCCCCAAGACCCAAACGTCCGAGGATATTGTTGCGGCCTCGATGCGCGGCCCCAGGGCTACTGACCCCTCCCGCAGGGCGAGTTTTACGCGCTGGATGAATGTTTGGTGGCCCCGGGGTCCGAAAGCGGGTTAACCCGTTTCGAACCCAATTCTTTGTTGATTTCGGTCTCCACAAATGTGGAGACCGAAATCAACGGGTTAACATTAGCATTCTTCGTCGATTTCGGCCTCCGTCTCCACAAGTGTGGACCCTTCTGCGGCTCTTGTCCAGGAGCGACAGAGGGCCGCACGCGCACATGAATCCACACTGGTTTCGAAAGTACGCATTGCGCGAACGCTCGTAACACGAGGATGGCCTCGCGGACTGGGGGGGGGCCGTATTCATGTACGTGGCTGGGCGCGTATGTCTTCTGTGGGCTCCCTACCCAGACCCCCAACGTTGTGATTTGTGTCACGAAGTCGACCCCCAGAGGTAAGGCCCCCTTCCCCGGGACCAGTCTTCCGTCCTGATTTGTTGTTTGACGGCCCCCAGAGGCTAAAACTAGCGAAAAAAAATCCCGTTACGATTTTGTTCATAACGCGGGAAAGCTTGGGCATTCCCTACAGTCAACCCGCATAGTGAGGATGGGCAAGCTTCCCAAGGGTACCATTGCGCCCTTGCATCCTTGCCCCCTTCGGCCCATCCGTAGCGACTTTCGCTGGCCAGTCTCGATGGAGAAACGATGACATGGCCCTCCAAGGCCCTTGCACCCTTACCGCGTGTCCTGATTACACGTAATGATTGTACGTCCTTTGTGGGCTTCCTATTTCTTTCATACCTACCGTAGACGGGCAAACGGCGATGTAGGTAACAGCGATCGGTAGTGTGCGAACGTGTGGCTCGCGCTTTCCTACGATTCGCTGTGTCGTGCTCGCTCAATCCGTTCGCAAACTGGACATGTACGAAAGTGTGGGTCGCGGTGTCCTACACGTTTGCCCCCCAACATCACCGTTTAAGCAGCATCGCCGTTAGTTCGGCCTTGGTCCTGTTGGCGTTTGCAGGGCCCTCCAAGGCCCTTGCATCCTTGCCGCGGAACCTTATTATATGTGGATGGCCTTTCTCTCGCACAAGGAAAAAAGCCGAAACAGAAACTTTCGGAGGCGCCGCCGGGGAGGCCCGGCGGCGCGGATCCAAGAACTCCGCGCGGAGCGCCAACAGTTTTTGTTCATGGCGTTTGTTCTTCTTCTGCTCTGGGGCTCCCTGCTCCACGCCCTCTGTGGGCTCCCTCTTGTGGGCTCCCTGCTTCGCCACATTCAGAGCCCCGGATCATCAGGGGTAACTCTGGTCAGGGATAACTCGGGCTCGTTTTTCGGGAATCCAGTTACCCCGGTTTTTCCAGTGACTCTGGTCAGGGCTAACTCGAGTCACCCCGGACCCGAGTTACCCCGGATAACTCGGGCGCCCAATCTGTGGGCTCCCTCTTGTGGGCTCCCTGCTTCGCCACACGGCGACTCGCCGCGTGGCAACGAAAACGCTCCCTCGTCGGAGGCCGCGCGGGGGCCGGCCTCCCGCCGCGCGGCTGCGGCCCTCCTCTGGGCTCGGGGAGCCCCCGCGGGCGGCGCCGCCCTCGCGGGGAGGGGGCCCGAGCTTCGGCGGCGACTCCCCGGGGGGGATGACGAACGAACAACACGCACCCATACCCACAGGGAGGTCGGAGGGAGGAGGACTGGCTATGGGTATGGGTGCGGGTTGTCGGACCCGGGGACCCCCATCCGACAACACGCACCCATAGCCCTCTCCGATCCCCCTATGGGTATGGGTGTGTGTTGTTGGTTCGTCAGGGGAAGCGAAGGAAAAAATAGTCCGACCCGGGCGCCAGACAGAGGCGGGGGCACAGCGAACGGGGGCACGGGGAACGGGGGCGCGGGGAACGCCGATTTCCACGTCTGGCTGTGCCCTCGTTTGGGGGGCCCTGGGCGCCGTAGACGGGGGCACAGTCAACGGGGACAGATGGGCAAGGCTAAGCCCCTGTTTAGCCAAACCCCCGTTTACGAAGCCCGGAAAAAACGGCATGAACATGAATTGTTTGGCGCTCCGCGCAGTTTTTTTTATCTTCGCTGGGCCCCCCCGACGGCGCCTCCAGCGCCACCCCTGGCGCGCTCCGCACACCGGGTCCAGCGCAGATCCAGAAATCCGCGCGGAGCGCCAAAAGTTTATGTCGTTTTTTGTTCCCCCAGGGAAGTGGCAGGGAGAAGGCCTTCTCGGAAGGCTCGGACCCAGACATGTTCGCGTCGAAACAAACAATATCGGGTCGGGAGGCGTTTAGCTATTTGCGGGCCCTGGGGGCCCTCGCTGGGCCCTGGGACGGTCAAGAACGGCTCAGGGTGAGAAGCCGGTGCCGGGGAAAAGGTCGGCGCTTCTGGGGACGCCGCAGTGAAAACATTTGGACGTCGCATGTCTGGGGAAGTCCCTCGGCTTTCGAAACCTTCCCCGAAGCCATGGAACAAAAAACCTCTCGGAAGGCCAGAGGGCTTCTGAGGAGTCCGGCCGCCTTCTGAGAAGGCCTTCTCCTCCTCACTTCCACCCCGAGCCCGCCGCCGAGAGATCGCGGAGGGCAGGGTCGGATGGCTGTGCGCCCAGGCACTGATGTCCGGCTCTCCGATGTGTGTCGATGCTCGGGCCCCCGGGCCCCCCTGCGGTGCGATCGAAGAGGGTGCGGAAAAAGAACGGGGGCGAAGGCCGACACCAGTTCCTGCCTATGTTGAACGGGACTCGCAGTCGGCGTCGGCGCTCCGATCTGTGTCGGTGCGCGGGCCCCCGGGCCCCCCTGCGGTGCGATCGAAGAGGGTGCGGAAAGAACGGGGGCGAAGGACGACGACAGTTTCGGCTAGACGTTCTGCCGTCTTTTCTTCTTCGATTCTCCCTCTCACTTCCCTACCCCCCGGGGCTCTTCGCCGAAGCGCGGGCCCTCCCCCCCCTGGGCTACGGCGGCGCCGCCCACGCACGGGCGTTTCCCCGAGCCAAAAGGAGGGCGACAGGCGCGGCGGGTTGCCGAACGCGTCGCCGTGCCCCCCGCCGCAGCCGCCGAGTCGTTCGACCCCCGCCTCTTTTCTTGCGGGCGCGGAATTCCCCAAGCCCCCGAGGGCGACCTTTGGTTCTAGGCCTCCTAGATGGGGTCCGAGTAGATGGGGTCGGAGGATCGCGCCGCATCGCCGATGCATCGGCGGTGCGGCTCGATGTGGAGCCCGATGTTCTCCACGCTGGCGTCGCCGATGCATCGCCGATGTCGCCGGTGCATCGCCGATGCGTCCGTGATGTATCGCCGATGTATCGGCGATGCGGCGCGATCCTCCTCCGACCCCATCCACTCGGACCCCATTCAGGAGGCCTCAACTGGTGGGGGCACACTGGGGCCCCCAGGTGACCGACGGCGATGAGGCAAGGCAGCAGCCTGCGCACGCCGAGGCGGTCTCCGGCAGTCACTGCACCAGAGGTAACTCGCTGCCTCGGGTCGGGGGCCCTCAAACGGGGCGGTGACCACACCGTGCGGTGAGTCGGTGGGGATTCGGGGTCACCGCACGGTTTTGGGACTCGGGTCGTTCTCCGAGGATGTCTTGGGCGACAGGGGCCTCCGGGGTCCCAAGACCGTGCGGTGACGGACCGTGCGGTGAGGTCTTGGGGGATTTCGAGGTCACCGCACGGTCTGTCACCGCACCGCTTCGGGACTCCAAATCGGGCCGCCCTTCGGTGCAGCCGACAGTCGCTGCCGATGTGTTTGAATGGGGCCCGCTGTCGGCGTCGCCGCGGACTTGGGGCAGGAAGGCGCCCGCCCAACAGCGGCCGCTGTCGGTCCAGCATGTGGTGTTGGGCATCGCACCCACTGCTTCCGCACCCTGCTCGGGTGTGCCAATCTTCTCGGCCCCGTCCCCCAAGGCTGTTTCGCTCATCCCAGACCGCTTTGTTGGCGGTCCCGGCGCAGGGGGAGGCCTGGGAGGCGCTGAGGGAGCGGGGTGGGGCGGGGCATGGGCGGCCCTCTGAGACGGCGCGGGGAGGGTGGGCTTCTCGGAAGGACACTGGTGTTGTTTTTGTGGCCCTCCCGGAAGGCCGGGGGTTGGAGGCCGCGAGGGGCCCTTCCGAGAGGCCCGACATCGGCCCTCTCCATGAAGAGGCAGCCTCTGCCTCGCCATCCCCGCCCCCATGGCCAGAGTCGGCTCGCGCAGAGCGGGTCTCCAGACCTCTCTCACTTTCTCTCTCTCTCTCTCTCTCTCTCGGAAGAGGAGGCGGAGGAAGAAGAGGAGGAGGAGGAGGAAGAATATGGTGGAGGAAGGAAGGGAGGGAGGGAGTAAAGCAGGAGGAGGAGGGAGGAGGAGGAGGAGGAGGAAGTGAGGAGGAGGAGGTGAGGAGGAGGAGGATGTGAGGAGGAGGAGGAGGAGAAGGGAGAAGGAGGAGGAGGAGGAGGTGAAGAGGAGTAATTTGGAGGAGGATGAGGAGGAGCGAGGATAAGCGAGGAGGAGAGGGGGGTCCTTCCTGGCAAGCTCTGCCTGGGCGCGCGCCCCGCTGTGGCGACGTGAAAGCTCTTGGAACGCACGCGAGCTCTCAGGACATCGGCACATCGTCACGGTCGGCCCGGTGGCCGGCTGGACAGTCGGGTCGGGCGAAAGGGGGGGACAGGGGAGGGGGGGGCCGAAATTATGCTGCATGCAGCTGGGTTTCGGCCACCGAGGGGCCCATTCCTCGATACATAGCCGCTTCCGGCGCCGGGAGGCGCAGGGAAATCAGCTACGTGAGCTGATTCTCAAACCCCCCTTTGCTATCCCCCCCTTTCGCCCAGCCCGAACATCGTCACGTCGTCACGGTCGGCCCGGTGGCCGGCTGGACGGCCCCTCCTTTGGCGGCTTCTCGTCTTAAGTCGGGCGTGTCCCTGTACATCGGGGGCGGAAAAGAGGGGGGTGATGACTAGGGGGGGTGGATATCATGGCGGGGGCCATGATATCTCCCCAGATCTCAGGGCGCCTCTTCTTGATTCATTACGTCCCCGGCCCCCCCGCTGGGCCGCGCACATGCCGCCGGTCATGATTTGCACCCCCCCCTCTTGGACACCTTCCTCTTGGCCGCTCCCGACTCCCTTGGCGGCTTCTCGTCTTAAGTCGGGCGTGTCCTTGTACAGGAGGAATCTTCGAACATATAGTAAAAATCGTTTGGGGACGATGTTCCAGCATGTTCGGATTATTTTTGAGCTAGTGTTAATATTCTTTGTTCTTCCAAAATCCGCCTGTGGGAGGATATGCCCGACCGAATTCTCGTCCCCAGATCGTTTTCTGACAGACGTGGGGCCCGAAGCCAGCTTCTGGGAGGCCCCTTGGCGGAGAAACAAGAGTGAGAAGCACAAGCAACGAAACGCCATGCCGACTCTTCGAGCCGCCGTGGTCCTTGGGGCCGTCGCTGCCGTCGTCATCGTCGCCGCCGTCGTCGCCGCCGCCGTGGTCGTCGTGGGCGCCGTGGTCGTCCTCGATCGGCCCAGCGGCCAGCCGGCGGAGCACCCGAGGCTGGGACCAGGACTTCGCGACCGACGCCCCGTAGCGCGCCCTGGGCGCGCGATGCCGCGCGCTGCCAGGCCGCGGGGCCTCCCCCGCACCATGGCGGCTCGAATGTATATCGGGACCCCAGATAACCTCTGAAAGTCTTTAGTTTGGGCCGCCCTTCCCCCCTTTTCTCTCAGCGTTGAATAGCGCTGATCCTAAAGCCTCCTCCTCCTCCTCCTCCTCCTCCTCCTCCTCCTCCTCACATCCTTACATCCTCACATCCTCACATCCTGCTCCTCATCGTAGTCGTAGCTGTCGTCGTCGTTGTTGCGCGGGTGCCGCGGAAAAGCATCATTAGTTACCCCTTCTTTGCGGGACCCCAGTCCTTCAATCAAGCCGCCGAGGAATAATTAGAAGTCCCTTACTGGGGGGGGTTCTAAAGACCTTCGCGCTTCGCGGTTCGGCTCCGGTTCGGCCCCTCTTGGGGGGGGCGGCGCGAGAGCGCGAGGTCATTCGCGCTCTCGCGCTTCGCGCAGCACGAAGAAGCGTGAAGTGAAGGCGCCCTTGTTTTTCCGGGCCTCACAGGTGGGGTCCGAGCAGATGGGGTCGGAGAATCGAGCCAGATCGCCGATGCATCGGTGATGCTGCGAAATTCTCCCGCCAGCGTCGCCTCCCATGTGGAGCCCGATGTTCTGCACGCCGGCGTGGCTATGCACCGCCGACGTCACCGATGCATCGTCGATGCATTAGCGATGCGGCGTGATCCTCCGACCCCATCTACTCGGATCCCATCCGGGAGGCCTCTAGACACGTTGTTTTCGATTACGGCGTTTTTCTAAGAGTCTGGGACTTCTTGGGCCGCGCATAGGTAAGAACACAGCCTCGGATGTCTGGGTCTCTGGCGGCTCAGAAGCGTCGAGACTGCAGCTCTGTTCGCCATGCTGGACCCTCTGGGGGTGGCTTTCGGGCTCCAGGGGCCGTCCAACATCGATCCGCGGGGCGAACACTTGGTGCCCGGGGAAGGTGTCAAGGGGTTGGGGGGGCTACGTCTCGGAGACATCGAGCCGCTGGGAGGTCCGCACGGTCGGGAACGCGGGAGGCTACCCTCGCGTGAGGCGAGCGGGCCGGCCTTTTGCTCCTCCTCCTGCCAAGAGCCCCCCCCCTTCTTCTCGCGTCGTGGGGTAAACACGGCGTAAGGTTTGTGTCTTGGGCGGCCACGAGGGGCGTGGGGACTAGAGCAGCGTGGATATCATGCCCAGGGGAACGGAAACTTCTGCAGGCATCATGACCTCATCTTCTTCTGTGCATTCTCTGACCCCGCCTCGTCAGCGCACGTGCCTCGAGCCATGATGCGCACCAGCCCTCTTCCTGCCCTTGCTCGGCGCACTCGATTTGGACAGTTCTCGTCACGCGGGGGCCCTCACTGGGCACTGGCACCTTCCGCAAAAACAGCTCCGGACCGAAACTTGGCCCCGTACGAAATCTGCAGCCCGCAGCGGGTGTTTTCCCCGCCGCCTGGGACAGTCGTCGATGCGTGGCCGCCTCGGGCACTTCCGGGTGGAGGGAGCCGAGGCGTGGCCCCCCGCTTGCCAGCCCAGCTCCCTGAGATCGGACGTCGCGAGATCCTGGGCGGCAGAATGGAAAGCCATGACTGGCACCGCGCTGCTGTGGCATCCCTCGGGCTGGGTCGACCAGCAAGGGCCCCCCCGGGGGGCCCGAGGCTGGGCGAAGACTTCCCGGTGCAACTAGGATGGTGACGCCCGGATCTCAGGGCACCCCGATCAGTCCCCCCTTCCTTTCGATGCTCGTTCTGGGGACCTTCCTGAGGCCCACCTAACGGATCTGTTCGACCCCAGTTCGACTAAAATTCGACTCAAGTTCGACTCAAATTCGACTCAGGTTCGACTCAGGTTCGACTCAGGGTCGACCCAAATCGACTGACGTTCGACGCAGCTTCGACGCACGAGTGGAGCGAGTGGCTCCAGGAAGGTCCCCAGAACGAGCATCCAACTTCCTTGATCTCTGGCTTTTTGTTCCCTCTCGGGCGCGCTGCATGTGTCAGAGGCCGGCGCGCCTTCTGGCGTGTCCCCGCGCTTTCCGCGGAAGGTGACACGGCGAAGGTCGCCACGCCGGCTGTTTTTCAGTGTTGACTAGTGCCCATCGGCCGCGGTCGCTCTACCATCTCGAGGGCTCCTGCTGCGGCCGCAGGCCTCCGAGGTCACGAACGGCGAACGTGACTGCTCGTGGGCGAGCAGCATGTCTGAGACCGCGACCTCGCGGGCCGGGCCCCTGGGCCGCGACCCCGCGGATACGGGGCATGTCTTCGCGGCTGCCCCGCGCGGAGCGTATCCGTGCGACCGCGCATCCGCGGGACATCGCGCCCCGGAATCTGTGGGAAAGAACACACACAAACAAACAAAAAAAAATGTGTTTGTTTGTTGTTTTGTGTTTTTTGGGGGGGGGGGACACGAGGGCGCGGGCACGGATACATGTTCGCCCCTCGCGAACCATCACTCCATGCCCTCGCGGTCCGGACACCGAGGCGCGAGCACGAGGATGCGGGGCATCCGCCCAGATAGCAGCCGAACAGCCACGTGGTAGGGGACGAGGGGCCCGGGGTCCCAGGGCCTTGGACCACCCAGGACGAGGACCACCCATCCCAGGAGGGCGCCGTGGACCACCCAGATGAGGCCGGAGTATCCGTGCAATCGGGATCTGCGTCCCGCCTGGGACGAACTTGTTGTTTTACGCCTCTGAGCTTTCGGGGCCTCTGGGAGGCTTGTGGCCGCCACTGCTGGGCTCCCTTCGAGCTTCTGGTCAGAACTCACCCAAGGAGAGGTCAGGGGCCATTTTTGAGGAGGGGCAGGCCTTCTTGGCGACTCGAAAACGGTGCGCGCTGGAGGCTTTCCTCGCAGTCTTGCTACCCGAGGAGCGGCTTCTGGGCCTGAGGGCCGTCAGATTGCGGCCTGCGGTTGGAAAAGCAGCTCCCGGGGAAGGGGCCGAGATCAGGTCGGCCCAGAAGGGGGTCCAGCTGCAAGGGGGTGGTGCAAAAGATTTGGGGCAACTGTGTTGCAAATGTACTGCGCCGGAGAATTGTACTGCACTGTATTGCAAGTAATGTATTGCACGCGGAAACCCAGCAATACATTTGCGCCCCAGAATGTATTGCACGCCCCAAATCTATTGCAACCCCGCAAATCGATTGCACCACATCTCTTGCACCACCACCCTTTCGCTGGACCCCCTCGTGGGTCAACCCGACGAGAGCTCTCGGGGCCGCGCGCCGGAGGGGCCATGGCGTCGGAGGTGTGTGTGGTGGGGAGGGGGGGGGCGCGATGCCGGCGCCCAGCGCAGAGGCCCCCGACAGAAGCAGCGCCTGTGTGCAGGTGGTGAAACGCAGCCTGCGGGTGGCACGTACGTCTGCCCGTGGGTACACAGCCAGCCCAACGATTCGGAGACGGGGGGGACGTTTGGAGGGCCAAGCCTACCTGCGTCTAGAAGACCAACATATCGGGCCAGTGCCAGATACCGTTCTCACGTCCTGGCCCAAAGCGCCCAAGGATACGTTGGGTGCGGTGAGGTCCATAAACACTTTCAAGGTGGATGCGTCTATGAACAACGCGGCCGTTGCGTTCGGCGCGGTGCAAGGTCGGAGAAAGGGTAGATCCGTCTACGGTATGTTCCTGTTTTAGAGCAGGTCCCACATGGTACTCCAAGGGTCGATCCTCTAACAGCAGGCAGCGGAATCCCCAGATCGACTTACCATCTGACCATAAGCATGGGCAAGTGCTCAGATGACTCTGCCACAAGATCTGTATTGCGAGGAGTCTGTCACCTGACCAGAAGGAAAGGTACTTTTGCGTGTCCCTGTGACGCACAGGCACTGCACTCCATGTTTCATCCCACCACAAAACAAAAGAACTTCTTCGGGGATCGCCACCTGCCATCACACAGGGGGACGCTTAGGGATCCCGAATTACCACATGACTACACTACGGTGTAACACGTGCAGACCTCCTCAGCATACACCAGCGAATAGAACATTGGAAACACGTTTACAGACGACGACAAGCCACCCAAAGTCCGTAAGGGCCCCTTTCATCTGCCCACAGGAGGGGAAGCGCACGTAGGGTTCGCATCACATGGCCACAAGGGAGGCATCAATATTAGACCGCAACATCGATTGACCAGATGAGTTATCAAGTGACTGTATCGTCTACAAGGGGGTCATATTGGGGGGGGCGCCATCTGACCGCAACTAGGCGTGTCCTCAGGAGGTCTTGTCCTCTGACCATAAATTCGCACATTTTGCGTTGGGCCCAACTAGTATATGAGAGAGCCAGCTGGTGCCCACACCAGGAATGGACCCAATTGGGCTCCATAGGGCTCCATCGGATCTTTTCTGTCTCCAGGGGACTCTACTGGACTCCACTGGATCATAAGACTCCAGTTGACGCTGGTGGTCTACATCAGACTCGGTTGGAACACCCATCGGACTCCACAGCAATCGATTGGACTCCATTGGTCTGCACTGAACGCGAGAAAACAAACAAGCAAGCAAGCAAGCAGTCCATCGGGATGGCCAAATGATGTATTAGGATAGCCAAGCAAGCAAGAAGTCCGTTCGGAATGCCGCGGGATCCATTTGCATAGCCAGAATCTCTGGGATAGCCCAGATCGCGCAAGTGCAAACAACGGGCGATTCTTGGCCGAATGCACACAGATCTTACCAACGGATTCAGGATTCATGTAGGCAAGTTTGTTTTGCTGTAGCATGCGAGATTATCATACATCACATGTGATGTTGCATCAGGAAATACATTAGGGGATCTCGTCTTGCCATAGATACGGGACTCTTTACGGCATTGTATTATTTGGCATGGAATGCAGAAACTTTGGCGGAACCAGATCACCCGATAGCAGTCAGGAGCATCCTCAAGTGGCCCCACCATGGGAAATCTTGGGAGACCCTAAAGATGCGCACCCCTGGGGACAAGAGCATGGTTCGCCACACCTTGTAACGCGTAGCATGTCAAAGTATGCCACCTCAGGGAAAGCACTGGTTTGGAGAGGTAGTTAAAGAGCGAATGTGCGTTATGATTACTCTGGTCTCCAGCAACGGGGAGTAATAACACTACGAGTTGGCTTCCCAACCATACAGTATTGTGGCTTTGGCCCCTAGTTTTGGAACAGACATCGCCCCGCATCTCCTCGCATCTCCTTTTCCTCTCCTCTCCTCACCATCCCTCCTCACATTACGCCGTTCACCTCTCAGTACTCTAGTCCTCTAAGATGGGGTCCGAGTAGATGGGGTCGGAGGATCGCGCCGCATCGCCGATGCATCGGCGATGCGGCTCGATGTGAAGTTCGATCTCCTTCACGTCTGCGTCGCCGATGCATCGCCCACGTCGGCGATACATCGACGCTGCATCGCCGATGCATCGCCGATGCATCGCCGATGTATCGGCGATGCGGCGAGATCCTCCGACCCCATCTGCTCGGACCCCATCTGGGACGCCTCTAATTACCGCCCGCCTGACCCTGGGGACCCAGCCGACGCCCCGAAAGGGGCCCGCAGAGACGAGCAGAGAGCAGCTGCCCCGAGGCTGCCTCTCGAGCCGCGGGGGGGGGCCTCGACAGGCCGTCGTCCAGGGAGTTGTTCGGCACGACGGCGTCGTCGTCGTTCTCGGGGGAGACGCATCGTCGTCCTCGTCGTTTTCGTTTTCGTCCTCGTCCTCGTTTTCGTCCTCGTTTCGTCCT